GAGATAAGGTTATTTCCCTGAAAATGAAAGAGTGCCCACTCACCACTCATGTAACATCCCAAGAGCTAGCAAGGGCAGGGAGTGATCGCCGGTGCGAAAGGGCACGGACAATGAGCGGCTTATGCCAAATCTTGCAGCTTGGGGGTTCATGAATGAATCGAATCAACACCCGAAAGAGAGGGATTCCAGAGACTGTGCTGGTATGGGACGGTACTGTTAGGAATGACTTATAAGAATTAATTGGTACTACCTATACTAACAAGATGCATCTACTTTTAGGTAGCCCGGATCGGAAGAACTCCACAGTTAAGCGTGCTTGACTTGGAGCAATTCTGGGATGGGTGACCTCCTGGGAAGTTTTCCCGGGAAGTGTGCGAGTGAGGACAAAGCACACTGAAAAGTCTCGTGTTAGTGTGTGGGGACAATCATTGATTCTTGCAAGTGGCCGGGCGTTACAAGTGGTATCAAAGCAGGCCTCTCTTCCAGTACGGTGTGGTTCGAGGACGAACCAGGCGGAAGCTGGTGGGCATGTAACATCCCAAGAGCTGCCAAGGGCAGGGAGTGATCGTCGGTGCGAAAGGGCACGGACAATGAGCGGCTCATGCCAAATCTTGCAGCTTGGGGGTTTATGAATGAATCGAATCAACACTCGAAAGAGAGGGATTCCAGAGACTGTGCTGGTATGAGACGGTACAGTTAGGAATGACTTATAAGAATTAATTGGTACTACCTATACTAACAAGATGCATCTACTTTTCGGTAGCCCGGATCGGAAGAACTCCACAATTAAGCGTGCTTGACTTGGAGCAATTCTGGGATGGGTGACCTCCTGGGAAGTTTTCCCGGGAAGTGTGCGAGTGAGGACAAAGCACACTGAATAGACTCGTGTTAGTGTGTGTGGACAGTCATTGATTCTTGCAAGTGGCCGGGCGTTACAACTCATTCCCTCTGAAAGGTCTACCATAGGTCAACCTCTATAAGGAGATTGTTCGTGTTGCAATATAGAGGAGATCAATTCGTGAAGATAAATCAAATAGAGGAGATATTGGAAAGAGGAAGAGAAGATAAACAAGATGGTGGTGGTCCGGCCCGGAAAGGTGACCAGACACTTTCTCACACCCCGGAAAAGCGAGGACGGCGACAGAAACTTCCACCGGAAGGTTGGAGCTCCGATAGAGGCGGCGCTTGGACGACTAGATGTGTCTCCTCAAAGTGGTTCTGATCGCGTGGTCGTTTGCCGAAAAAGTTGCCAAAAAAGTGCTCCGACTGACTGTTGACGGTGAACAGTGGCTAACAGAGGTTTCTGGCGATGAACGGTGACTTTTTCTGACAATCTAAGGTTGAGGAACTGAAAGAGAGTTGCTGGTACGATGCACAACACAGACGATTTTCTAGAATGACGCACAACAAGGATTTTTCTACGAAAGCAAGGTTTCCCATAACACAAGCTCTGGTACCAACTTAAAGAATATAGAAAATATGAATATTGCATTGTATTGAATTGTGTATAACTGTGCAAGAGAGATTTCTATTTATTAAGGCTAATTGGCCTAAGTCCAAGGAAGCTTCTAGAACTAAAAAAATAAAACAATAATAATACAATATTATTTCCAACAATAATATTTTTAATTTATATAATGTATATTATATTTAAGGGATATGTTATTTTATCTACCACTTTTTCTTTCTACATTTACCTACCATTCTATATTTCTCATTTTGTAACCCTTTGTTTAAGCTTATGGAAGCCACATGGCTGGTGCATTAATACTACAGGTTCATTTAAATGAGCTAAAAAAGAGCCAACCTGCGAGCCAATTTTCGAGCCAACTCGCGAGCTATTTTTTCAAGCCAACTCACGAGTCATATTTTAAGCCAACCCGCGAGCCAACCCTAACCCGACTCGGGTCGGGTTGGGTTGAGTTTTCTGGCTCGTTTTTTTTTTCGAGCCAACCCTAACCCGACTCGTTTTTTCGGGTTGTATGCGGGTTGGGTCGGGTCGAGCCGGGTTGGCCCGTTTTGCCAACCCTAGGTAGAATAACCTATCCCTATATTTAATATTCAATAATTTAACCAAAAAATGAAATAAACTTATAATATCCATCAATTTTGCAAAGAAACATATATTTTGAAATTGAAATTATCTTACACACTCCAATGAGATTTATTCGGTATCCTTTTTAATTTTTATTATGCCAATTTGGTAAAATATTGATCAATTTTTTTATTATATGTAATGAAAATTTAAATATTATAGATGTCGGAGCGTATCAGAGTGTCTGGGTGTAGGATACAACACTTCAGATTTTTTAAAGTATGGATGCAACATAAATTATAAGGAGAAGAGGAAAAAGGTACTCGTTGATTAGGTGAACTTAAATAAAAATAAATCTTTGGTGCAACCGATCGATGGGAACATCACACGTCAATCAATATTCTCTCACCTCTAATGCGTGTTGGCTGATGTTTGATGCTCTCATTGGTCAGTTGCACTAAGTCTTCAGTGCAACACTTGCACGAAAAATTTATTCAATCATGAGAGTAAAAAGTATAATGGCAGCATTCTTCTTAAACGTGATTGGATAATGAAGTTGGGATTTGACCAAGTGATAGGCAACAGTCACCAAATCCATTAAATAATTCAAGAAAAGATTGAGGCCAAGTTTTTGCCTAAAAGAGTATTAATCATAATTGTATTAATGGATCCCCACTTAATTATCTTAATTAATTAGACAGCCAAATCCCACTCATTGATATGGCAGAACTCATGAACTCATTGACAAATACATTCAAGCCAACCTCTGGATAATGAAATGGGGGATATGCATTGCCACTAAAATTCCCTGTGGGCATCATATTTTTTTTTAATAACTTAAAATTTGAATGGGATTATATATCGGTATCTCTCTAAGGCTACGAAAAATCTCCCAACCTCTTTGAATGGGCATCATATTTTTTTTAAACGATGATGTTCGCTTTATTTCTTTAATTATATAATTGAAAGCATTACAACTTGAATTCTTACCCAATTCTATCTTTTTGAATAACAAATATTATACATTGGAGAATAGTATATACCTATATATATGCATACCTATAAATTGAGAGAGTTCAGTGTATCTTCCACTGTCCTTATCAAAAGGCTTGAAGAATTATTGAAAGTAAACATAGGAGTCAAAAACCCTACGTGGGATGTTTCCCTATATAAAAGCAGAATACGTATGCAGCGAATAATTTTATATAGATGTTATTAAAATCGGCCCGGTCATTGACTTGATCTAGGTACTAGATCATTGGGTCACTGATTCAATCGCATGGCTTGATAATTATATGAAATTCTATAATTTATATTAAGAATTATAAACATATTCAAATATATAAAAAAAATGATAAAAATTTCAAATATTTTAATATAAAAAATAATAAATCACATATTATTATCCAATAAAGGATCAAACAAAAATTTAATAATCGTGATACAGGGCTTCAGGTTCAGTAAACGACATCTCTAACTATAAATCAAATCAAATTTTTTTGCATAGTGCATAATTAAGATAATATTAGTGTTGTAGATACATAACTTAAGTAAGTCAACAAGCAAAAAAATATTCAAATATGTCCATTATGATTTTTATTTGAAAAAAAATTGGAATTTTGTTGGAACCAGGCTGGGTCACCGGTTAACCGACCGGGTTACTGATTTTCATGAAAACCGGCCAGGTCGCAACAGTTCTGATGCATGGCCGGTCCGTTATTTTAACTGAACCGGTTATGACTAGTTTACCGATTCTTGGGTCAACCCAGCCGGTTCGATCCGATTTTATTACCATTGATACAAATAACCAAAATTTGGTTTTCATTATGAGCAAAATTTGTCTTCTTTTTTTAGCCACGAGAATTTTCTTTTTTGGTGGTGAAATGAGAATATAATTCTTATTCCAAAAATTATTGAGATGATGATACCATGGCTAAGTTATAAGATTGTGTTTGGATCATTTAAAGTAATGTTTCACTAGGCTGATTTGGAAAGTTAGCAATTTTTCATTTCCTTCTTCAAATCAGACTTCCAAATACAAATAACCAAAACTTGGCCTTAAATCCTTTGCATTGCAGAAAATTCAGATTAGAATTCATTTTAATTTCTGCCCTTTTTTTGGATAACAAAGGAATTACAAAACAGAAACAGACAAACTAAAAAACAAAACTAGGAACAGATCCTAGGCCAACCAACTCCAATGGTATCACAGAACAGTCTGTTCAAGACACCCACAGGAGGAACATCCAACTCATGAGTTTGAGTTTGCCAAGAAAAATCATATGAAAATGAAGCAAGCCAGTCCGCGACACCATTTCTTTCATGATGGATATGCGTCATATGAACAAACCAACTCCTAGAGAGCATATTTCGAATGAGACTAACCAAGGAAGAATACGGATGAGAAGAACTACAACCATTCTTAATTAGTTGTTGAGCCAAAAGAGAATCCCCTTCCAACCAAACATGCCTGAAGCCCCTATTCCAACAAATCTCCAAACCAATCAAACAAGCCCATAGTTCTGCATTTAAAGCATTACCACAACCAAGATTTTTGCAGAAACCAACAAGCCAATTACCAGAACAATCTCAAACAACCCCTCCACAGCCAGATTGAATGTCATTTGATGAACTTGCCCCATCAACATTAACTTTGACCCATTGACCTGTCGGAGGAGACCAAAAAATAAGCCTCTCCCTACGAGTTGTATGTTGTAAACCAGCTTTGTCCAACAACTGTTTAGCTTGAACAATGCTATTACAGTATCCCAAGACGGACATGTAGATACTATAGGGTGACCGAGTAGAATTTGCAAAGACATACTTATTCCTGTTGCGCCAAAGGAACCAAGTTGTCTCACAAAAAATGAGAGCCCAGCTAATATCACCGTTCCAGGTCCTGTTACTATTGATGTTTTCAAACAACCAATCATGAAGATTCATATTACAAAAAATATGCCACTCCTCAGGTCTGACCAGCAAAACGCCAAACCTCAAGAGAGTCCTTGCAGTTTCGGACAGCATGTAAACTCGTTTCTGTCACATGGGTACATCGGGGACAAGCTACTGACGAAGCCATATGGCGCTCCACGCGTCTGAAGTTGGTCATCAGCTTATCGCCTAGAAGAATCCAAAGAAAATAGTGAACCCTTTCTGGACCCTCCCATCTCCATACATGAATCCAACTGGTATCCCCCTGGGCGTTGGCATCGCTGGAAACTATCCTATAAGCTGATTTAACAGAGAAAATCCCATCAGGAGACTCAGACCATATAACACGATCATGGTTGTCCAAAGGCATAGGTGAGATCATGTTAGCTATACAAGACAAAACCTGGACCGGAATGAGATGTTGAATACAATCCCAATCCCAAGTTCCATCTCTCGCAACAAAATGAGAAACTGATTGAGCCATGCTATCTATAGAAGAGGTGTTTGATACATAAGATAACAGTGGACCATGCCTAGGAAGCCACCAATCAGTCCAGAAGGCCGTGTTAATTCCATCTCCAAGGAGAATCCGACTATTGGATAAAACCATATCCCAGTAACTAACCAGACCCTTCCAAAGGTTGGAGTTGTTTCTAGAAGCTCGGATATGTGGCATTAAATTGCCTCCCACGTTGTACTTGCACCTGAGAACTCGCACCCATAAGGCTTCAGGCTTTGTCATGATGTTATGGCCTATTTTCATGAGAAAAGCAGTATTCATATCTTTCATCCTCCTTAAGCCAAGACCTCCTAGTTGCTTGGTCAAACATACCTGATCCCAAGCAACAAGAGCTGGACGCCATTGCACATTATTAGAGCTCCACACAAATTTACGAATATGCTTCTCAATCTCTGTGCATGTAGACCGAGGAATGTGACTAACCTGCTTTGCATAAGTTGGGGTAGCTGATACAACAGCTTTTGACAACGTTACACGGCCAGCCAAAGAAAGACTTTTATGATTCCAGGAATTCAGCTTAGAATGTAATTGTCTAGAATGTACCCAAAAGTTCCTCTACCAACCCGCTTATGATGAAAAAGAATACCCAGATAGCGGCCCAAATCATGAGTAGAAGAGAATCCCATACTTTGGCTCAAACTAGCAGCTCTAGTGTGATTAACATTGCGGGAGAAGTAGACACGAGTCTTATCATAATTCACACGTTGGCCTGAACAACTACAAAAAGAATTAAGGATTCTGTTAATAATCACAGTTTGCTCTTGGGTGGCTTCAGCAAACAATAGTAAGTCATCAGCAAAAAATAAGTGAGAGATGGGAGGAGCGCCTCTCTTTAAAATTACTGGTCTCCACTGTCTGAGCTCCACAGCCTTAGAAATCATATGTGCAAGACGCTCAATACAAAGAACAAATAAATAAGGAGATAGTGGATCCCCTTGTAGGATGAAATTCCTGAGTCGTCTTTCCATTCCATAAGACATTCATAGAGCAAGAGGAAACACACCACATGATGAGAGTCGTGATATGATTTGGAAGACCTAAATCATGAAGAGTGTCCCTTAGAAAATCCCAATTCAAACGGTCATATGCCTTTTCAAGATCCACCTTAATTGCCATGCAACCTTTTGTGCCACGTTTTGATCTCATCGAATGAACAATTTCTTGAGCAATGATCACATTATCAGTACCTTGTCTCCCTTTGATAAACCTACATTGATTGGGCATCACAAGGCTATTCATATGTAACTTCAGCTGGTTAGCTATAAGTTTTGTCACAACCTTATAGATAACATTACAGAGACTTATAGGTCTAAAGTCTTTAAAAGTCTGAGGAGCATCCACTTTCGAAATTAAACAAAGAAGGGTCTGGTTGACATCTTGAACTCTATGCGGATTATTGAATACATCTTTGACAAAAGAGCACACTGAATCCCTTACAACTTCCCATTGAGACTGAAAAAAGATGCCGTGAAGACCATCAACCCCTGGAGCCTTATAAGGACCCATAGAGAACACCACATCACGAATATCCTGGTTAGAAGGCTGACGACTAATATCCCTCAGATCAGCATGTCCCAAATTGGGAAAAGCATTCCTGATCGGACATGTAGGACGTAAAGCCATATCCTCCTTATATAAGTTACTAAAGAAATCCACCGCTTTAGTCATTAGAATAGAAGGGTCACCTATCCAATCACCAGCATCATTTTTTAGAGCATCAATTCTATTCCTCCGTCTCCTTGCCACTGTTGTGGAATGGAAGACTCTAGAATTTCGATCCCCGTACACAAGCCAATTAGCTCGAGACCACTGAAACCAAGTGAGCTCTTCTCTGAGGTAGATAAAATTAAGTTTACTCCAAAGCTCCCTTTGTAAACGCTCTAGCGCATGACTAGGATGCTGACTTAAACTGCGATCAATTCCATTGAGACGAGCATGAAGATTAGCTTTCTGATTAGCATCTTCCCGAAAACAATCCCTGTGCCAGCGTCCTGCCTTGTTGCGGAAGAGATTGCTGGCTGACGTCCAATCATTCTCCTCCTCCCAAGTAGAACGAACTAACTCAGAAAAATTATCATGGGTAAGCCAAGCTGCCAAAAATCTGAAAGGTCTATTCCCATGGGAGTTATAATTCGGTTGCCCCTCCCAAAGTAACAAAGGTCGATGATTAGAGCTATAGAAGGGAAGATGAGACACCACCCTGTGGGGGAAACTCAAACTCCAGCTCTCATTAGCACAAGCTCGGTCCACGCGCTCATACAGATTACCTCTCTTCCAAGTAAAAACTGGACCCTTATGGCCCAAATCAGATAATTGGCACGTTGTGAGACATTCTTGGAAATCTAGCATGCTCCTCCAATTTGGAGAGCCTCCTCCCAATTTTTCAGATGCATGAAGATATGAATTGAAGTCACCCATGATACTCCAAGCTTCATTCTCCGGCAACTGAATTTGTTGTAAGAACTCCCAAAGTAAAATTCTCTCCTAGCGACGCGGACTAGCATAGACAAAAGTTACAAACTAAGTCTTGTGATTTACAAGCCAGTGCAGTTTGGTGTGAACATACTGCTGGTGCGCATCCACTACTTGTAACTGAACCTCAGAATGATTCCAAAAAATCCAGATGCCCCCTGAAAACCAATGGGATTAGAGAGATAATTTTTTTTTTAAAAAACCTAGTGATTTAGCCACCTTATTGGCACACTCCCCACTAATGCGAGTTTCCAAAAGGACTAAAACATGCAGTCCAAAACGTCTTGACAAATCCCTGATTAGGGGGGAAAAACCTTTTTTTCCTGCCCTTCTAGAATTCCAAACAACTAAATTCATAAATAAATACAAATTAAGAGTGAAAAGACAAAAATAACAACAGGAATAAAACATCCAATCAAGACTGATTAATACGAGATTGTTCAACTCCTTTCTTGGAGCCATCATCTGCATGCATTATGCCTATATTCTTATCATTGGGAGAGTTGAGGTCCGCAATCCTATCTGGCGGTTTATCAAGCTCCTTAGGCAGACCAACAAGAGTATTATGAGAGGTACACTCCTGAGTATTTCCACCAAGAAGACTGGGGGAACTCCGTTCTTGACTCCTATTGGACATTCTGGGATTCATATGAGAACTAGCTTTGTCCTCAGTAGCTATAGTAGAACCAGGCTTTAGAGGCTTAGGTGGAACCTTGGGTTTGGATGATAACTTGAAAGATTTCGAAGCCACAGACAATCTTACCCTTTTCTTTTTTTGCGTAATAGATTCATTAGCCTCCATAGGTTGAGGCTTGTCTTGTTTCTGTTTAACGATGCCCTGATGCACTTCTGGTATGTTTTGATGAACCTGGACAGAAGGTTGTCCAAAAACTTTCCCACTGTTTGAAATTTGAATTGCTTGTGGGCCATAGTTCAGCCCATGTTGTGTTGACAAGGTAACTGCCAAAGATTGAGTATTTACACCCTGTACCTCCTTATTTTCGGTGATTACTTCCATAACTCGTCGTCCATTTTCCGTACCCGAAGATGATTGTCCACCAGACGCAGAGCTACTAACTGCATTAATTGCTACATTCTTACCCTTGTCGACCGTTTCATATGTGGCAATAACTCCAAAACAGGTACCCTTTAAAAGTCTAGAGTCGGTTACCTCCTTGCGCATGTGGGACCCATTTTTAATGCATGTTTGAACGGTCCTATTGTTACTAGCGGTTACACTGGTTTGAATGGAATTATTCATTGCAGATTTTGATTGCAACCCTGAAGTATTAATTGCAACACTTGCAGGAGTAATTGCGGCCTTCATCCTTCTTCCCCGGCTGTTTCTCTGGACCACCATCCATGAACCAAAAACGTCACCTTCAGCTGCCGCCTTATGGATATTACTGGATTGTTGTGGAACCTGCCTTTGATTCTGCACCTGCACCTGTTGATTATCGTTACTCTGAGACGGTGGCAAATACATAGGGCACAAATCACGTCTATGACCATATTTGCCATAAGCAAAACATATTAGGTGAAGACCTTCATATCCAACTGGGTATACACGATTTCCTATTCTAAATTTAGAGAGAAAACCTTTCTGGAAATCCACTTCAATACAGATTCGAGCAAATTTGGCACTCTCAGTTATCTCACCTTCACCGGAATCTCCTTTTCGAATCGAATTCCTATCAATCTTCAATGTTCTGCCAAAAAGATTACCAATATTCCATAGATGATGGGTTGAATAGAACTCAATCGGTAAACCCGGAATATGAATCCAAACTGCTAGCTTTCTAACTGCATCATCAAGTGGATCAAAAAATGGCCTCCAATGTTGAACCACAACATAATGATCCGCCACAATCCATGGCCCCTCCTGTAAGACAAAATTGTAGTCTTCTACTTCTGAGAACCGAAATAAGAAGTAATCATTCTCCAAATCAATAAATTCATAGGATCCTGATAAATTCCACATCTTTAGAAGCCTATTAAGGAGAAATTTTACACCAACACGTTCCCCCAGCAGTTTCACTATCACAGCTTGCCTCCAGGGCTTGCAACTATCTCTGTGTCGTTCTTCCTCAAACCTGTAAGTATGGCACAAAGGATCGTCTTTCTCAGCCGAATTATCACAAACTCCTTCACAAATCATCTCATCTTCATCAACCAGACTTAGCTTTTCAAAACAATCAGCCTCAATGCTCTCTTCTACGTTGACTACTCCACCATTAAGCTTTAAAAGAGTATCTCTGTATGATACCACTTTCCAGTCAGATAGAAGAGGTGGCACCACCCCCTGGATTGGTGTTTTGTCTCGGTTAACACTTCGTTTCAAGAGATCCACCTCCTCAGAAGAAATTTTCTTATTCTCACTCATAGCACTTGGTCTTTCTTTGAAATTATTTAAACTAAATAGTTAATGCGAAAAGAGTTCAGCCATTTCCCCCCTTTTTAGATAGGTTGTTTTACATCACAATTCATATCTACCATTTAGAGGCGAGATAGAAACGAAATTCAGATTGTGATTTTCTTACATTAGGCAAGACATTATAATAATACTTTGAACCCTAAGTGAGGAACACGACAGGCCCCATATGAAAAGCTCCCTCTAACAACTCAATAGTCAAGTCACTCTTAATTTCATCAGTTCATGTTAAACTTGTTGAGATGAATTGTCTTACCCTAAAAAGATGCATTCAATTCTCTTAATGTTGGTGTAAATGAAAAATGTCACCAAGTCAAAAATCAAACACTAAATTGCAAAGATCAAGTTTTCCTCTATAATTTACATAAAGAAACAAACCTATCAACATTTTTAAAGAATAATAGTCACTGGCTAAGCTTTTTCTTAACATACTCTCATAGTGCCTCCCTAAATCCAATGCTAAAACTAGTGTTATCCTTTAGACCGCTACTACCTAAATCTGCATTGCCTCTCTGCATCATAGCCACAAATTCGTTGTAGTCTATTCGACCATCCTGAAATGGTAAAACATGAACATAACAACATTGTCAAAAGATGAATGAAAATTGAAATTTCAGTACAACATAATTTTTGTTTAACATAACTAAAAATTATGCAAGCCACACCTAACACATTACATGAGAATAAAAAATCAGAACAGTAGAGAAAGCATGGTTCGAAATGTTAAATAAATTTTCATTCAATTGGTAGAAATCCGTAAGTTTCAATTTGATCAGGAACACCAACATGAGATCACTTAAAACTATGCCAACCCTTTCAATTCATTTTTTTTTTGTTGGTTCTTCCTTCTTAAATTGAATTTAGGTAGAAGATCTATCAATATGACAAAAAGTCATTAATGTAACTCGTCTAATAGCTTAAACTTTTAGGTTGAATTAATTCTTTTACACTACCAAATTATGTTATGGGCATCCTATTCTTTAAGCGTTATGGTTTCATTCATCAGATAGCATAGCATGCATTAAATTACGTTATTGTAAAATGTTCTCACATTATTTTGATAAGCTTCCCGGATCATTTCATCCAATAGGACATCCTTCATACCAAATTCTTCACGAGCTTGTTGAAGCTCACCTTGAGTGATGTAGCTGTTGGGTATTGTTCATACTTCGCATACTGATGAGGTGAGGTGAGTATAGTACAGACAAGCTGGACCTAATCTACATTGAATGAATCAGGGTAAATCACTGTGTTGATTTCCTCTCTCCCTTTCTCTTTTCTGTTTTCTCAATTTGTGTGTCGATTTCCAACAGTAGCTACTATAATCTTTATCAAAATATGAGAATGCTTCAACTAAATGATTTTCCCTGTCAACTTTGTTTAAATGCAATGTTGCAGCTATGAAACAAAAATAGGATAGGATTATAACAATGTGCTAGTAAAAGTGTTCAACTCTCTACCTTTACTATTTTGATTGTTATTTATGATTATACTTTTCGCTACTTTGCATAAACATGTTTCACGAAATGATTACAAAGAGCTTTCCTTGCAAGATTAATCATAAAGAATGGAACGAAAAACACTTATCATAATCCTGGTCAAGTCACAACAAGAACAAATCAAGTCCAATTGGACTACTACTACTACTAATATAATAAGTCCTAAAAGGCTAAAACATTAAGAATCCTAATATTCTAACAGGAGAAAATGTTTGGCCAAAACAAACAAAAAAATGGGAGAAAATATAGGTTTATTTTCTGACATTAAGGAAATATAAGATAATTCTGAACTAATACTTACAGCTTGCATTAGATCGAGAATTTCAGATCCACTGAGATTAGCACCAAACGTTTTCAGTACAATCTTGAGTTCTTGAAAACTGATTTGACCACTGTTGTCAGTATCTATCATCTTAAACATTTCTTTCAATCCAGAAATTTCTTCTTTAGAAAGAATCTGTGCAATAACCTGCACAGAACAATATGGAAACTATTAAAAGAGCACAGTTTAATTATTCCAAATTGAATTTAAGATGTTGACATATTCAACTTAGCAAATAAAAGTCAATATATAACAATCTACTGTTCATCATTCCCAAAAGAGAGGAAAACACATAAATAGAAAAATTACTTACTCTAAAAGCCATTTTCTTAACCCTTTTAATTGCAGAAAACTGCTTCAGGCGACTCAAAACTACATAATCAAAGAGGCGCAACTTCATCAACCTGAATCCAAGGGTGACCAAGAAAAGGAACATAATCACTTACAAGATGGTAACAAAACCTCAAGTTTAATGATATTGTGACAATGATCACAATTAGTACTCGCAAGTCAGAAAGTCTGGCAATACAATGCTTAATGTTTCATCCAAAATATTTAAAAATACAATAAATTCGTTTTTAGGGTGTCTTTGATAAAACTGAAAGATTAACAGTACAGTAATTTTAGTCATCAGCTGAAACTTACGAAGAACTTCATCAGTTGTTATCCGTTGTCTTTTGCACTTTCAGAGATA